CCATTAAACACAATCACTTTCCTGTGCTTACATTGGAGAAGTTGTAGTGCTAAAAAAGAAAGAAGCTTTTTGCTGGGTTTTGTTGCTCAGCATCTGATAAACAGAGTGGCTTCCAGATCTTAGGAGGGGGCGTTATCATTTCTATCGTGGAGATGGTAAGGAAGAGATTACCCTCCTGCAGCAAAGAGTATCAGCAGTTGGTACAAATATAGGGTTCAAGTGGAGTGCACTGCTATTCTCCCTGGTGCTGAATAAACTGATGCATCTGGGGGTTGTAGAGGGGGAGGTAATTTCACTGGCAACTGGAGCCTTGCATTAATTCCATAGCAACAACAAAATGGCTTGTTTGAGTAAAGGCAGATTAACCAAACAAGCCTCTCAGGACAGCGCATTCACTGGCTAAACGTTCATTTCTTTTCAGAGACCAGTTCTTCAGCTAGTAGCTACAGTTCAGAATTCAGCCGACGGCTGCTTAGCACCTACATCTGTGAGTATCAAGCACAGCTCTCCTGCCTCTGCTTCTTCCTTGCTTGGCATGTTATAAGACTGTTCAGATGCCTGCTATAACCTGTTGCAGTTGCTGTTGAAGTTACTCTCCTGCATGGCATTGGAGTGTCAGCTTATGGCTCAATATAATGTGCAGCAGTCACTAGGGTGGGGCATGTCGGTGTGATGTTTGGCCCAGAAGTTCTCTTCAAATTGCCCAAATTGAGCTCTGGCATGAGCAGATGCATCTCCCTGACAGTAGGGCCAAGTTTCAATCTTTGCTGGGGGTGGAATCAATGGCTGCCCAAAACGTATACCTCTTAACTCCTCTAGTGCCCATCGTTACAGGATTGTGGTCCTGCCTCCCTTTTAGACTTGAGACACACCATGGAAAATGCCAGCTCTTAGCTTTCACTCCTCTCTTTTTGGAACTAGAGAGAAATAATAGAGCAGTTTTTCTGCCGCAAAGAATTCAGAGACCACAGTTGTGGCTTTCTATTTGAAATCTCTGGGTTTATGTTATAATCATATTTACACACCTAACAGTGCTAATGTTGTGTGGCACCTCATGGCACCCTTGAAAGATACTCCAGGACACTGTGGCACCTTGGTTGAGAATTGCTGCTACAGGAAATGGCATGGGAGAGAAACCTCCATTACTTTATGAGGAAAATGGTGTACAACTATTGTGCACATTGACACACCGAAGCACTCCTGCAAAATACATGTCTAACTTGTAAACTTAGTTATGAATATGCATGTAGTGTGCATGCATAATTACCCATGGTGGGCCTAAATTTTGTACCTAAATCTTCTGAAATTAAGGCCATGTTGGTGTTTTTATCATCAGTAGCAGCCACCATCATCTGTGATCTCAATAAAGATCTTTACTCATTTTTCTTTGCAAGGCAAAGTGCTGGGCAACTTGCAGCTAAACCTTCTCAGCAAAGTCAGGGTTTATGAAGACCCAGCTCTAAAAGCCATCTTCCTGCACAACAACTACAATTACATCCTTAAATCCCTTGAAAAGTAAGTGCATCTCTTCATAATCCTCTTGACTCCCAAGGGGACTGAATTTTCTTTCTGGGAGAGGCTTAGATTTGGGATTGTGACTTTTTAAAAAAAAGCTCTGGTATGCTGAGTGCATTTACTTAGTGGGTTCTCTCCTCTCTGGCATTTCTTTCCCTTTCGAAAACTGCCTTTTTGAAGCATCTCTGTCCTATTGTAAACATATTATATTGCACCGGAGAGTGGAGAAATCAAAGCGATGGAGAGGCCTTTGATTGTACTGAACATCTTTCATCTTCTCGGACCTAAGACAAGAATCTAACTCTTGAAACCGCTAGGTTTGTTCGTTTTGAAGTGGCATGGCTGGAAGAAAAAGGGAAGAAGCTTTTATCACTAATTGTAACAGGGACAACAAGTCTTACTGATAAAGGTTGGAAGCCTTGCTACTTAATTGGCATCACTGAGTGAGAGAAGCAGGGCTGGTTTATGGGTGTTTGGCTTAGCTGATTTTTTTTCCTCTCTTGTCAGGTCTGAGCTAATCCAGTTGGTGGCCGTGACTCGGAAGGCAGCAGAAAATTGTTATAGGGAGCTCATTGAGAAGCAGATCCAGACCTACCAGGACAGGTCAGGTGGCCTCCTTTTGTCCTTGGCTAAGTCTCTCAAGCTGTAATGAAAGACTGTCCAATTTTAACGTCCAGAGCTAATGGGGTGGTGGGAGCAGGCAGGGTAAAAAAATTAAAAAAAAACAGTAAAAATAATGATTTGAAAGACATGGGTGTAAGGTTCATTGTGGCAGAACGTTGGGATGCATGGAGCTGGGGGGTCTCCTTGCTTTTTAGTCCTGGAAAAGGTATGGTGTACATGTCTGTCAGATTTCTTCTTGGCAAAAGTGCTGTCCATAATGTCTTCCCTCTTGTATCAATTGTAGCTGGTTAAAGGTAACAGATTACATCTCAGAGAGAAGTCTGCCTGTCTTTCAAGTTGGAGTTAAGGTGAGAGGGTGGACAAAGGATGCCTTTGATATAGCAGAAGTGGGCAAAATCATTTTCTCCTCTCTGTAAAGAGATTTTTAAAGAGAATTATTCTCTACAAAGCATCAAGAGAGAGTTAATGTGGCTTGTACGTCAGATTGGAGATCAGTCTTTGGGTTCTATCTCTGCTGTCCCAGACCTTCTTTGTGACTCTGGGTCTCAAGTGTCCCCATCTCTAAGATAGGACAAATGACACTTTCACTATTGGAAGACTCGGAGATATTCTCATCAATGCGATCTATCAAATGACCTGTCCAAACCCCAACATTACTTTCAAATAATATTTCAGGTGAGTGACACGTACTTAATCTCAGATACTCTTGTCACCGACATGTTTCTTCTCCTTTGGGAGGAGTCCTAAAAAATTATTTGTGAAGCAAACTTTGAGGGTGAGGTGAGGTAGGAACCAGTGAGTGGGCATCAAGATGGTGCCACATGGATGGTGAGATTCCTAAAGCCTTTTAGAAGTTCTTAAGGACAAGACCTTGGGTGTTGCCCACGCAGGCTGGTCACTCCAGGTCGAGAATATCCAAGTGCTCCACGTGCAAATTAAGGGCTTTGCTGGCTTTCACTGTCATATCTGATGAAGAACATCTTGCCTTCCAAAACTTGTCTAACTCTATCCCACTACGTAGTTGGTCCAATAAAAGAAATCTAAGAAATCTTTGCCTTGCATAAGTTAAACAGGAATTTTAGCAGGTGAGCAGCAATATTGTCATTTATACTGGGAAGGACAAATACAATGTCCTTTTCTTCCTTCTTGCAGCTCAAGGACAAAGAAAGGCAGATGATCAAGGAGCGTTTTAAGGTAAGGAGCTCTTGGATGGCAGGAAAACTCTCCTTTGCTCAAAGTAACATTGAGTTTCACTATTCAGACACAATGTGTGTCTTGCTCAGACATGTCCCTAACGGTTTCTCCTGTCATGGAAAGGGATTTAATGATGGCTTGGAGGAGCTGTGTAAAATCCAGAAGGCTTGGGCTATCCCTGATACAGAGCAGAGGGACAAAATCCGTCGGGCTCAGAAAACCATTGTGAAAGAGACCTACGGTGCCTTCTTAAACAGGTGATGACCCTCTTGCAGGTGCACAGTCCTTTCTCTCCCATTTCTTCTTGTGAAGTGCTGAGTCTCTTTTTTTTTTTGACCAAAAGCAGACATGCAAACCGGAGGCAGTCCACTGTCTTCCAAAACCATCTACAGCTACTGCATACTGAGTGTTAGGATTCTGTGAGCTGAGCTAAGTTCACAGTTGATGTTTCCAGGGGATATTTTTGACTTTTTTCTGGGGGGTGGGGCAGCAGAATCCATGAGTAGCTTTATTAATACAACATATTTGAGAGCCATGTTCCAGATCAGGGATGTCCAGCTTGTGAGTGGAGGAGGTTGCCGACCTGGTAGGCTACACACTGCAAGGTGGGATGCACCTTGCCCCACCCCCTGCCACGCAGGCAACCCAGGCTCCCCATTGCCCACATAATGGGGACTCTGACTTCCCCCCTCTACTGCACACTGTATGACCAGGTCATATACTGTGCCCCCCACCTCCCTGGCAGAGGGGCAGCCAGGCGGGAGCTGCCAGACCACCTGCTAACCCCTTGTGGCTGCATGTGGCTTGTAGGCTGCCAGTTAGATAGCCCTGTTCTAGCTAGTGGAAAGTTGGGTTGCTCTGAGGGATCTGTCCCCATTAATATGAATATCTGCCCTTAACCATGCTTATGATGGTTATCCTTGCTGCCAAGAACTACATCAGATGTCTGTCATACTAAAAGAGGCAATGTCAGAGCCTGTCTGTTACCCCTCTGGGAAGGGCTGGGGTGGGGGGCAGGGGGAAGCAAGGCAGCCTCTCTCCAGAAAGCCAAGTCCTGTGACCTTGGCTTCATGCAGTGCCTGCTGCTGGTCACAGGCTTCTCTTCTTTGCCCCTGGCAGGTATGGCAACGTGCCTTTCACCAAGAACCCGGAGAAGTACATCAAGTACCAAGTTGACCAGGTTGGCGAGATGATTGACAAGCTGTTTGACACATCGGCCTGAACCACTTGCCCTCTTGACCACTCCCATCTGCAAGTCAGTGCTTTCCAGGTCTTCACAGGACCCTTTCCCTGCCCCATTCTGGTGGGCAGGGGTTATACTTGTATTTATCAAATTTATAAACATGTGAAAACACTACCTCCTGTCTGACCTTTTCCTTTTGAAAGTGGATTGCAAGGGAAGACATGGCTTTTTAAGACAGAAAATTTGGCAGGACAGCTTTTGTTATGCTCATGCTTTTCCAGATCTTTATGCAGTTTTTAGAGCAGAAGCAAGAGGTATGAACACCATCTCTCCTCTAGGTGAAAGGTGTTTGCTCTCGCATGCTGCATATATGATTTGCTTGCCTCCTTGATATGTTCCTGCTACGCTAGGTGATGTGTGTTTGTGGTATTAAAGTTTACCTTAAAGAATCTATTGAATCCCAAAGGATGCTTCTTCCCCTCCCCCCCCCCCACTACATTTGTGGGCCAGTGTGATGTGTTGGTCGGGGAGGATTTCAGATCACTGTTTTATAGTTCTGAGAGAGTGCTCTCCGAGTTACTGCTAAGTGATTGGAGCTCTCAGGATAGAGGGTAAGGCCTATACCGTTCCATTATGATGATGGCGGCACTTATTGTATTACTAGTCAATTGCCCATGAAGAATGACCGGGAGTGGGGAAGCATATGGGGATGGAGCCCTGTGTGTCCCCCCGACCCCTTTACCTCCTACTGCTTGGGCTCCCCCACCCACTGCAGCAGGGGAGGACTGGGCCTGAGGGTGTGGAGAAGCCGGCCTGTGACAGCGGGGAGAACAGCGGGCCCAGGCCGACCTGGCGGCAGTGGGGGAACGGGAGGAGCTGGCGGGGGGCGGGGGGAGCCTGAGCTGGGGGAGCAGCTCGCCCACTGTGGCAGTGC